GGCTCAGAGCTTCTGAGGCTTGAGTGGCCTGCTTGGTCTTGCCCGTTGCCGCTGTTGCCTGTTCTGTGAGACCTCGTGGCCTGCCTGACCTCCAAGCAGGAGCAGAGGGAAGTGTCGGAAGTAGCCGGCAGCACGTCCGGAGGACTTCCATAGGACTTCTCTTTGCTGGTGTTCAACGAACTCTGCAAGGGGCTCCACTGCCTTCCAGAGCTTCTCTCATGGAGGACACGGGGTTGCTCCGCAGCGCCGAGGCAAAGAGGCACTTCGAAGCACTTCTGCTTCTTTGGTCGCACAAACTTTGTAAGCCGTGCAAGTGCTCTCTGTTGTGGCTTTGTCGGCGGCTTGCTCAACGACAAGTAGGTGCTCTTCGCATGTGGCTTCCCCATTCTTGGGCAAGGAGGGACGAGGAGACGACGCAACAGAGGCAGGGATTGTTGGACTTTGTGTTTCTCCAGAGGCTCTATCTCTGAGGCCTCTGAGTGAACATTTCTGCTTCATGGAGTGCCACGGTTAGTTGCCGCTCCCTGCCGGCCGCTGGTCTTTGATTGTTACTCGCTGGGGTGCCCGCTGGGGTGTGCTGGCCTCCATGCTGGCCCCAGCGCGAAGGATTGCGAAGGATTGCGAAGGATTGCGAAGGATTGCGAAGGATTGCGAAGGATTGCGAAGGATTGCGAAGGCCGCCCGGTAGTCACATGTAGTCACGGGTAAATGAGATGAAGCCGGTCACCTCCCCACCTCCCTGCAGTGCAACGGTGTAACGAGTTTGTGGCGGCCATGGTGGCCCTTGCCTCTGTGTGCGTCCACCTCCGGAGGCTCCAGAGGGCCCAGGGCGGCTTGCGCTCTTGTAGCTGCCGTCCGTCCCGAGAAGAGCAGCAAAAGAGCAAGTTTTCGTAGCTTTGGACATGGCAGCTTCTGTTAGAGAGCTGCGCCTTTTAGATCCCTTGTACGATCTCACCTGTGACTGCGATCGTCCGTACAGCGGCCCATTGCCCCTAACCCCATCCTGACCCTTCTGGGCGATGCCCTGGACTAGAAAGTTGGGAGGGGCCTGGCACCCGAGATTTGGTGAAATGCGGCTAAGCCCTGTTTAAGCCTGCTTGTTTTTTGGGTTTCCCCGGGTTTCCCTGAACTCCGGACGTGCACAGGATCCAAGGTGCTAGCCCTGACACTTCCTAAAGCCTGCCGTGCCCTGGACCCTTCACCCTAAGTCTCCTAAGACTCCTACAACGTCGTAGGGTCTGTAGAGGTTCTGATTGCTAGTCGCTTGCGGCCGTCCGAGATGTCGTTGTCGATAAGTGCTAACCCCTAAGTCGCCGCTCCCTAAGCACACTGAACCCTACACGCCACTAGGTTAAGGTTTAGGGCATTTAGGGTTCCGGCCATGCAGATCCCAGGTCCCATCCGAGGACGTTCTTGATACAGCTCAGAGCTGAGCAGACGGGACACGGTTCCCAAAAAACGGCCTCAGCTGAGTTCTGGGCTTAAAGGGTAGGTAGAACTGGCCTAGGAGTCGAAGAGATGAGCCTTTTGCTTGATGTCGGGCTCCTCTGCTCTTGCAATCTCCACAGCACAAGGCCGTGAGGGCAAGCATGCAGGCTTCTTGAGATGAACAGCCGCAGGATTTGCAGATGAAAGGCTTGGCGGCCACCAAGCTCCCGAAGACGTAGCCACGTCTTATGTCTTGGCGGACCACGACTGCAAAAGAAGTAACATCTTTTGATCACGCCAAGCGGCTCAGTGACATCTTCATGTTTGTAAATGCCCCTTGTAAGATGGGGCCCCCGTTCCCCGTTCCTTGACGAATCAGTCGCAAGACTTGCAAGACACGCAGGCCTGTGTAGTTCGCAGCCCGGCGGGTTTCTTGCCCCAGCAGAGGTGGTTTCCCCGAGCTTGCTTAATTGAGTCCCCGATGTGTCGGATGTGGGCAGGCTAGGTAGCACTACCTGGACCCTGCTCTGCAGCGTTCTGTCGAAAGCGATGACTCGCAAGACAGGGCCGCGATGCTGATGGCCAAAGCTTCGGCTTCAATGGGCAGTTGAAGGCCTCGGCGCTTGGGACACTGGCATGCACTGGTCCAGAGTCTCACCTTTGGTGAGCACACACAGTCTCGAGCTGAGGAAGTCGAGGCAACAAGGCTAAGGCTGCTAAGGCTTCCAGGGCTGCTAGGAAGTCGGATGTTTAGGGGTCTAGAGGGTCTAGAGTCTAGAGGGCATACCTGCCAGGTAGCCAAGCCCAGGACCCAGACCTGCCAGTGCCACGCGCAGGAAGCAAAGCTGTGGAAGCTTGCGACACTTTGGGCCGTTTAAGCCATGCCTTGCCATTGGTCCTGTGCCACGACCAAAAAGATCTACGTTAGACTTGCAGGGCACACACAGAGTAATGAAAGAGTTTGAGACCATGCTGCCCTTTGAGGTACAATGCCGCAGAGCCTGCCAGGCTTGCAGCTCATGCATTGTCTTCGATGGCCATGCCTCCGTGCCCAGATCCATGCATTAGTCGAATGTGCAGCTGAAGTATCAGCTATGATGCACGAGTCTGCTCTCACAGCTCGCTTGGCATCTCCGAAGAGGTTCTGGAAGCGGTGTCAACGGTTTGTTGCCTTCGAAAACCTCGTCTTCCAGGCGGCACGAGTTTTCGCGCAAGTGGTGCCCCAAGAACCACGCGCAACAGCATTTCGCGGCACCTGCTCCTGCAGCAAGCCGCTCCGTACAATCCCGGCCATCCCAGCAGCTGCGCTCGCGTGCTTTGCGGAGCCCCAAACCTGAGTTGCAGCCCTGAGCCTCACATGCTCCGACTAGTGCTCCGAGGATGACCAAAAGGCGGCAATGCAGAAGCGCATGCTATCCCATGCCATCCCACGCATCCCACGCATACCGCGCTGGTGTTGCGGTAAGAACGGAGCGTGTCTTGTTCCCCTGGGCTGTGCCATGGCTGCCGATCATGGCAGCGATGCATGGTTTGCTGAGCGTTCGGATTCGGACGCATCATATCCCACTGTATCCCACTGTGTCTCCAAAGGTTCCAATAAACACGCCGGTGGCGGCGGTTGCCGATGCGTTGGCCTTGTCTGTGCTGCCTTGGCCTCGGCGCATCAGCCAGTGCGTTCACTTCAGCTACGCCACATGCAACAACGCCTTGCGGACATTGCTCGGTCTTCAGGCCTGTGGACAAGGAAGAAGGCTGCTGGCAGCAGACCATGAGCTGTTCCTCCGCGTACCCTTGCTGCTGGATGAATGCTTCGAACACCCCGGCAGCACAGGCACCTCATGCGCACATCAGCACCTGAACCTTCAAGTTCAGAGTGCCTTGGTGGCATGAGAAAGCGAAGCCGTCGTGGGGAGTGAGGAGGTTCAGTTCTTAGAAGGCCCCATCAACAAAGGCAAGCTGCAAGCTGCAGCAAGGCACAAAGTTGCAGGAAGCCCTTTGGGACCCCATAAGAAGCCCAGAATCTTACAAATCGGCCCGGTTGCCTTGACAACGCTAGCTTCGCAACACCTCGCCTCCATGGCCGCCATGGCTGTCCAGGACCTTGCCCTGCTCAACGGCAGGAGGCCGAATCTCTTCGAGGGTCAAAGTGACCATACAAGAAGCCTTGTGGATATCTTTCTCGCGGGCCACGCTTCTTTGCGCGGTGGCTCGAACTTCAGGGCTGCCGTCGCATGATCTGCAGACGGAAGAGGGCGTTCGAGGTCCTCTGACAAGAGCCTAGACTAGGGGAACCGTCTAGGAACCACTTGAAGGTAGCGGTGACTCCCTCCTTAAGGTTCGGTTAAGATGCCACTGGCAGTGCGGACACGGCTTTGCCTTCAAGTGAAGACCTTGGCAAATCTATAACGTGGTGATCTGATATTGCCGAATTTCAAAGAGAGTGCCCTCCGCTCTGTTGGGGGTTCTATGCGGGAGCATCAGCTGATCAACGAGTTCACTCGAGTCAGGCATGGGCCGTTTGAATAACGCACAATGAGCGGGCAAGGGTAGTTCAAAGAATGGGAAGCGCTTGCTGGAAGACTCTAGATCGCATGGCCCATGCTGACTGAGTCCCCAGAATGTCATTAGCGCAGGCACCACTTCCGGAACTTGAGGCACCCTGCGGACACAGCATGACAGGGTATAGGCGACATGGGCGGTATGGGTGGTACGGGTATGTGCAGTCGCCGTGCAAGGCAGGGGCTCCGGAGGTCCGTATCTTGCATCTGCAGAGAATTGCAGAGACCCACAGGCTAAGGCCGGTGGAAAGACATCCCGCAACCGTGGAGAAGTCACCATTCCTGTCTTACCCATCTTGGATTCAGCTTGGCCCTCAGCCGGGGAGCAGATGACCCGGGAATGCATCAGGATTGCACGCCTTGACTTCAGCTTCAGAGATCGGCATGTCTTTGCCGTGGATGCTGCCGTGATTGTCTCAGTGCCAGAGTTGGCCTTGGACACGGAACGCCACAACTTCTTGGGGTGCCTGTCTTGAAGTAGGCATTGCAAGAGAGCCTTCCAAGGCTTGGGTCACTTGAGGGCTTCGAGTTGGCAAGCACTGAAGCCTACCATGGGTAGTATGGGTAGTTCCATCTCTATGCACACGGGCTGCCTCCGAGGTCTCTCTCCATCCAAGCTGCGTTCTGACTGTGGACGTGCCAAGGGGCTGGGGAGGAAGGGGCGAAATTGCTGCCGCCGCCGCTCCGTGCAGTACCGACCGCTTCCGAACCTCCGTGCTCGCAGCCGTGCGCTGCAGATCCTCCCGCGTTTGGTCCCACACAGTTCCAGCCTACGAGGTCTGGGCCAATCCGCCATGCCTGCACCAATCTTCCGCCATATTGGCATCACAAGTCGGAAGTTGAGACCCCAGAAACCTCCGAAGCGCGCTCCTTAGGCGGTGCCCTACAACCCAAAAGGTTGCCGAAACCCCTGACATCTCGAAGATATCCGCGAGCGAATTCAGGGCCCCTTCCTCAGAACAGGCCTTGCGCCCCCTGTGCGCCGCTCAGACTCTTCACTTTTGCAAAGTTTGCATGGTTCACCTGAAGCACCAAGCCTCGCACTGCCCTCGCTTCGCTGCCTTAAGCGCTCGCCGCGGCACTGAAATGGTTAAAGCTCAACGTGTTCAGATCCGGGATCAGATCCTGGATCAGGTTCCAGCTTCGGAGTTTGGCGCTTTGTGCGAAGCGGCCCTGCTAGCCCCTCCTCGGCCTTGTGGCCCTAGGCAGTTCCAGTCATCGGTGCCCCGCCAACTCCCCGGGAGGGTCCTGCATTTCTGGAGCTTTTCGGTTGAGCTCCAGCAGAAAACCCGGGAGCAAATGCTGGTGCTTCCTCTGAATGTTAAGATCACTTGCCCTTTGCGCCGCAACGTTGGCGCGTGTCATGTTCCAGCTCCTGACGTCGTGTAGGATGTGTGGCAGCCTGTGGCTTATCCTCAGGTCCGTCCCTAGGGCCTTTGCCCCTGGCACAAAGACGTGATGGCCGTTCTGGAGTAGAGGTGCACGGCCTGTCTGACACGTGCTTCTTTGGCACACTCTCATGGGAACATGTGTGATGTCAAAAGTAAGGTACCGCTCTTTCTCTTCAGAGCCTCTCCACATATCTTCACCCGTCTTCAACGGCCCTAGGAATCTTGCGGGGCAGTCAGTCTCTAGGATGAAGGACACCCGAAAGAAGGCTTAGGGGCACCCCCAAAGGATCCCAAAAAGGGCTCTCTTTGACACGCGGAGAAACGAAGGAAGCTCAGAGCACTGGGCAGACGGCACGGTGCCTTGCTCATGTCTTTAGCCTGCTCTTGGGCCCCTCGCGCACCTGAGCCACTGGAATTTCTGGAACTTCCAGGCCCTCATTGTGCGGTCGGCGCGGCCGCATCGCGAAAGAGGTTTGCACTGTATGTATGATTTGCACCGGCACTCTGTGGAAGGCACGGTTCGGTTTTGCTTGGCCCCAGGGCCCGGAGCCACTGTGCGAACCTCGGAAAGCTGGAAATCGCAGACTTCGCAGGCTGAGTCTCCTGAACACTCTTACAAGTCTTGCCAGATCGCTTGCGACTCCGTCACGTCTCGCTCGAGACGGTTTCTTGGGCAGTGAAGGCCCAAGTGCTGCAATCACTGTCCTTGTAGCACCTCGAAGGCTTCAACAGACCCCGTGCTTCTCTTGAATCTGAGCCGATCCCGATTCCGATCCTCCCACGGCCCAGTCGACCCAGGCCTCCCCAAATGCTGCAAAAGCTCAAGAAGTTCGTGAGACGGGCCGTGTGGGTCTTACGGGCTTGCCCAGGGCAAGCGCTCACGCGGTGTGCCGTCCTCGACTTGCTGGGGGCCAGCGCACCTCGAGCAAGCTTTGGCAGCTTCGGGATGGCGTAGCGCGGACTTAAGGTTATGGGGCTTCCAAAAAGGCATTGAGGCCGGCTCTGGGAAGTCCGCCAGAGCCGAGGTAAAGTCGTGCAATCCCCTAAGGCTTCCTTGCCTTTCTGGCTCGGAGCTAGGCTCGGAGCTAGACTTTGCTTGGAGGTTTCGGAATCGTTGAGGCTCAGGGTATTGAATTGAAGGCTGTTGACATTTTGGATATTTAGGTTAGTTTTGTTCCCCAGACCCCTAGCAAATTGCCTATAACCTTCTGCCCGAAGATCACATGCGGGCGGCCATGGCCGTCTTTTCGGAGCGGTCCAGTGCCGGCAGTGGGGTTAGGGATGTTAGGGTCGAGCCCAGAAATTCAACTATAGAGGACCCCAGCAACACTAGAACGGTGGCCCCAGGGCCGGATCGGAATCCTGACAAACCCCGACCCGACGTCACCGTGTTCCTGGCAACACTGTGTCGTGGAGGGCACGAGCCTGCCGGGTGCGGCTGATGAGTAGCTGGAGGCTTCTATTGTGGGACAGTCATCTAATTGCTCTCTTCGCCGAGGCCCTTAACGTTGTGGGCCTTCAACAGCGCCCCTTGCCCTTGGGGAGTAGCGCAAGAAGGAACCCAACCATCTCAGGAGCTTCATGTCAGCGCAGAGCGGTGCGTAGACAGTGACGACCTAGTCTCCCCGGTGGCTGGAGTGCCGCACCTCTGCCAGGACAGCAAAGCCAGCCAAGCTTGTAGGCTTGAAACGCAACAGCTTCGGCTCCCGTTTCACAGCGCCGTGTGCACGGAGACCTCCCTATAGCTGGCACGCCCCATATGGCCAGCAGGACTTCGAAAGTCACTCACACAACAGGCCCGCACCTGGGTGACCCCTCTTCTGCCGCTTGTTAATATGCCTGGGGCCGACTGCTGCCTTTGCACAAGTTACCCGACCGTCATCGTGCCCACAGGCGCGCCCCCGAAACCTCGAGACCACACCTCGGGAAGCAGGACAAGCTGGCAAGCATGTGTGTGGGCAAGACCAAGTAGCTCGTCGATCTTTGAGGGATGTCCTTCACAGCCGGGCATCGAAAGCATCGAAAGGCAGGAGCTGTTGAGCCGGCTCGTGAAATGCGTGAAAGCAAACCTCATGCTGTAGAACTTGGCCGTTTGCTCCATTCGCTCCGTGCAGAATGAGCTTCATTCAGCCTTGGCCGCAACTATGCAGCTATGTGGGCGGCTATACATCCCGGCGAAGTTGACCTTGGGGTGCTGCGTCACTTGCCCCAGTGGCCCCGCTGCTAAAGGTTCTGTGGAAAAAGGATTTGCCAACATCCCACTCAGAAGCCAAAGTTCTTTCCGTGCTCCGAAGTTTACTCTGCCATTGCTGAGCTTTGCTGCACATGGCCACGTCCCATCAAAATCTGAGCCATCCCCTCTGGCCTGACCTCTGCAGCAGGTGTAAACCAGGAGTGGCAATGACTCGGGTACTTAGGCAGGGGTTGCACATAGCAGATAGAGTTAGTTAACGACAGCATCAAGCCGAGCCTCCGCATACTGCGGATGCCAAGTGCGAAAGCATCAAACAGGAGTCTTTGAGGCGGCCAGCTGTCCTTGATGTCCGCAAGAAGCTGTGTTGGTCATGCGTGGTCTAGGGCGAGATTCTGAGGGCAATAGAAGGCAAGGGACAGCAGGTATTCAGAAAGCTAGGCGCTCGAAAAGTCACCTCTGAGAAGAGGTGCTTGAAGCCGTCTGGAGTCTTCAGAAGCCCTCCGAAAAACTTTGTGAAAGGAGGGAGAGGTGGAGCGCTTAGTGCTGGCACATTGCAGGTGCTTCGAACTTCGAACCCCTGTGCTTGTAGCCTGAACATCGTAACTCTGAGCCAATGCACACAAATAGCTCCTGGGGACCTTGGTCCCTCCTGGCACAGCTTCCTGTTTGATCTGTTTGGGTCGATTTTCAAGCCTTGGCTGAGCCTGGAGATCATATGGCAGCCCTGGTGATGTAGCTCCTCCAAAGCGCATCTCCAACATCTCCAGCGAAAGCTTTTCTGTGGCTAATGCTGCGCGGCCTCTCTTCTCGCGGGTTTTAGGTCGGAGCAAGCCGGGTGGCGCCAGCCGGATTTGTCGACACCACCCCTGCGCACTCAGAGATCTGCCCTTGAGGCAACCTTAAGCAACAATCTCGGTAAGCTCGAGACACTATCAGGTTGGGAGGAGCCGTGGCTTGGAAGCTTTTGTCTTGGCGACGTGGACTTGGAACTTCTCCCTGGCTGGGGGGTCTCAAGAGAATCTTGGTAGAATTGCAAGGTGCGTTTGTGAAATGTTGCGAGATCAAAAGGCCCAAACACAGCTGAACTGTCCCAGAAGAGCGCACCACATTGTGCCAACTGCTCGCGGGCTGCCTCGCCTCGAATGCACAGTTTCGTGTTGGACGAGCGTTTAAGGCCAAGACTTTGGAATGGCAAGGGCTTGCAAGGGCTTCATGTGAGGGCTTCGGGTTTGGTCCAGAAATCGCACTTCACCAGCGACTTGGCTGTATGTGCTTGCAGACCGTGAAAGGCCCTAGCCCTAGCTGCTCTGGCTTTTCTACTTTGCTCTCTGGCCAGAGCTGTTGGCATTCCCAGGCCAGATGCCTTCGCACTCGCCCATAAAACTGAAGTCTGTCAGTTCAGAGTCAGGTATGCGGATCTGCGCGGATGTGCGCAGATGCAGTTTACTCAGTTTGCAGGGTGACCTGGGTGACCTCTTGGAGTGGCCTGCGAAGGCGCCCTGAGAGGTCTCGAATGTCTCGAGAGCGCCATGTAAAGACTGTAAGTGCCACCGAGAATGCCGGGAGTTCAGATCAAGGCCTCCTCCGGAGTGGGCGCTCCCTGGAAGATGAGGAAGGCCGTGTCTCGTGCCGCTCCGGCTGATGCGCTTGCACTGAGGTCTGCCCTCCCAGGTAACTCATGCCAATGTCTTGCTGCTCTCATCTGTCTCATGCCAGTTCACACACCTGGCCGGTCAGCCCCAATGCAAAGGTGCCTGCGATAGTCACGGTATCACAGAGCCTTACATCCGATGGGCTCGAGGCAGGCTTGAAGGATGTGGCGTGAACGGTGCATGCGAACCCTTCGCTCTAAGCCTCTAAGCAGCCGAAGCCCTACGGGCTCTACAGCCCGGGTGGCAAGGTGGCTGCCACACACTGCGAGCACACTTGGCCCTGCATGTCACCGGTTCAAGTTCCGCACTGTGCCTGCAAAAAGCAAACGGTTGGGACTTTCGTAAGTAGGCCCTGAAGGTGCCCATCTCGACGTTCAAGTGCTACGTTTGCAATCTAAGCCCACGGCATTTCCCAGTGGAGCAGCTGGAGGAAGGCCTTGCTGCCGATACCGAGCTCTGCAGCCTGTTTAGAAGACCGTGCGCAGGCGACTGCATCACTTGTCAAGTTTCAAAGTTGGATGCTTGACAGCACCTGCATCAGACCCAGCAAGACAGCGTACACCGTGAAAGTCCTTATAGGAAAAATGCGCAAGTAGGAACTTTCAAGAAGTTTATAGGCCCCCACACTCCCAGTGAAACTTCCTTGGGGGCTCCCTTCGTGCACCAGCTCCGGCAAGGCAAAGCCGGCAAAGCTGGTGACCTCCTTCAGGCAGTGGGGTGCCTTGCAGGGCACTCTGCAGGGCACTCTGCGGGGTGCTCTGTGGGGTGCTCTGGGCCTCTTTCCCAGCTTCCAGACCTCGGCCTGCTTCAACAGCGAGGTCCCGCAACTCGAACTTAGAACTCGAGTGAGCGCTTCAGTATGCTTTAGTTTTGGAGCGTGCTGAAGCCCAGCAACACCCAAGCATTTTGGGTTTTAAGGTTTCTCTTGAAAGAGGCTAGCCCCATCTCCACTAGGGCACCAAGGCCTCATGCTGAGTCTTGTAAGGTTTTTATTAGGATTCAGGGGGCCCACTACTTGAACGAGCCGTTTAGAGCCCTAGAGTGGCCCCCTACTTGAACCGTCTCGAAGAAGCCCTTGAAGCTCATGGACGAGCCCTCACAGGGTCCGACGGCGAGCTTTGAAGCTTGGCCAGAGGTGGTTTCGGTGTTCAT